GGTGTACAAAAAAGGACAAATTACAATTCTACGGCCTAATTTCCATTCGAGTTTGCTTCCGGCTAATCGTTTTCACCAAACATTGGTACAGTCAAAGTATACGCACACGGTATGAGCATACCATACGAGACAGGATGTACGATGAGTTTAAAAGACGCAAGTGTGGTCAAATCGAAGGATCATTCGACATTTGGGCGCTGCAAATGATGCTAGTAGGAACAATTGAAACATGATAAATCACAACGTAAAGAAGATAGCTCTCTATCCAGAAGGTCAGAACAGACAGTTCATCAAAGTGAACTCTCAGCATCTGATTCGTTTTCATCAATGATCCGACATGTAAGCGGAACACCACAGCTTCAAGAATTAATGACAGGCGACCCAGCTAACAGTATCTGCATTCAGAACCCCCGATTCAGCAACTAGCTCTCACCCATGTACACCGACAAATGCGTTTACAATGGTACCGGACACATTGGAGAACTTCCTTGACTGAACTAAAGTTAGATTCAGCAATGAGTCCGACCTAAGTCACGATGACTAGCGAAGATGTGCCTGAAGCTGTATGGCGCAGTGGTAAGATACTGACTATACTGTCGACAGTCACACATACCTATAGCAAGCAGTCATACTTCGCGATAACAATTCATTTGATAGTCGGACTCTTTTTGGTCGTCCTCCGTGAGCCCTCAGACCACGGCGGAACCCCAACAATAATCTATGCTCCGTTGTGTTACCCTTTATTACAGGATACCCCGAAATAAGACTTGTATTTCAACAGGACAATGCCCAACTGCATACGACGATAATTTATTTATACTGATTATATTCGTGCTTATCGAACACTTTGATGGCCAACCGAATCGCCATATCTCTTCCCAATAGATAACGTTTGTCCTATGAGCAGTTGCTTCTGACCGTCCCAAGATGTCGCCGATCTAAGTTGACAGATGGAACGTGATTGGAAAAAGTATCACAAAAGGTCATCCACCAACTCTACGAGTAAGTGCCAAGCCAAATAACAGCTTAAATAAGCATATAATAATAATAGCTTAAATAAGCTTAGGGCATAGATGGGACAAAGTCTTATTCATTTATTTGAAAGTATCATTGTTGTTGTTTTTTAAATTTGAATATGACAAAGCACACGAAATCTGTTTATCTAATGGGAAGGATATAATTATGGAGAAGTTTTTAAGAAAAACTGACTTATACTTACGTGGCACTTGAGAAAAACTAAAAACACACCCAGACACGCAACCTGTTCACTTTGAAGCTTTATTATTTAGATAATTTAAATAAGCAAGACCTAGCCACTTCTCTACTTATGTAGTCAGTCGGTTACTGAAAGACTAAATCATTAAATGAAAGTAATAAAATGTGTTATTTCAAGCTTATCTTCGATTTCGGTGATGCGTATTAGCAGTGTAATATTTCTTCATTGTGTAAAATGTATTTCTTGATTGTCATAAACTGTGAGAGTGTAAAATATATTGTCTATAAAATTCCGTTATTTCATGGACGATTATAGTTAGTAACTATCAATAAATCTTGTCATGATTTAACATAGCTCAATAAATAAATTTAATAGTGTCTTACCTATGATTTTAAGTGCTGTATCAACTTAAGTTTGGAACAATGCATGCTACTTAACATTATATTGTTTTAATGCCTCTATTTCTAAAGCAGTTTCTTTCAAACATTAAAAGCATGCATCTTTGAATAAGATGTCTCAGGTAGCTTTAAAACTGCCTATAAACATATTCCATTTCCCTCCAAGCATTATACCTACCCGAAATATTCCACTGTTATGTTAATTTTAAAATTTGGTAATTCTCACGGTAAATTTTATAAACGTAAATAATGTAACAGGTAAGATAAAAGAGACTGCATTATTAATTAATACGTATATAGGTTTAATAATTTGTTTCCTTTGTCAGTTAGAATGTTGCAAACCAATAATATATGAATGTTAAAAATATGCAGAACCCTGATGAATATAAAAGCTATTAGAGTTGCACTTAAGAGATTGTTAAGTTTCCCGTTATTTACCTAGAATGAAAATGATTCTATTAACACTTAGAGAATAATTGTCTACACTTGAGCAGATTATATATATATATATATACACTCATGTCCATAAATTAAGGATAATGCAAAATCAGGCAAAGGAAGAGTTAGAAGCAAAACAAATTGACTTACTTATTTGTAAAGCTTATTTATTAAACAAAAGGTAAAGAGCAAAAAAAGATGCTATATGTTTGATATTATTTAAAAAATTAGCGATTTTTTCTCCCTGGAGCAAATTAAAAAAAACCTATTTACAAAAAACCAATATTACACGGTTGGTATGATTGTTAATATGTCTCCCAGACGATGCAATACAGTCCGTACAACGCCTAGGCATGCTGAGTATCAAATTATCGATCTGATCTTGGGGGATATTACACCACTCAAAAATCAATGCTCTCCGAAGTTCCGGTAGACATGTAGGAGGAGGATGACGGGCTGCAAATCGTCGGCAAAGCATATTCCCACACGTGCTCTACTGGATTCAAGTCCGGTGAGAATGCTGGCCAGTCCATACGTCTGATATCCTCCGATTGAAGGCATTCGCTTACGATGTTTGCACGGGGAGGACGGGCGTTGTCATCCATAAACACAAATTGTGCGCCCATGGCGCCCCGAAACAAACGTACATGTTGTTCCAGAATGAAGTCCCGAAATATTTGGCTTGTCATGGTTTCAATTTGAACATGCAGGTCAGTTCTGGAACCCAGAATAATTCCACCCCAAACGAGCACTCCTGCACCACCGTAACGGTGTCGTTCAATGACGTTTTCTTGGTGGTAACGAGTACCTGGAGCTCTCGATATGAAAGTCCGGCGAGAATCAGACTGCAAGCTAAACCTGGACTCGTCGGAAAACATCACACAAGCCCACTGTTGCGGTGTCCACAATGCATGCTCTCTACTCCAGGCTAACCGCAGGCGACAGTGAGTTGCAGTAAGTGGAACGCATCTGACAGGTCTACGAGCATATAGACCAATCTGCCCTAAGCGTCTGTACACGGTCTGCCTTGAAATTGTCGTACCAGTGGCTGAAGAGAGCTGACGAGACAGGTCTGAGGCTGTGCTCCGCCTGTTTCTTTTGGCAGTAACTGCCAAATACCGGTCCTCATTCGGCGTTGTAACTCTGGGGACGACCTGTGCTGTAACGTCTACTCACATTACCATCATCTTGGAATCGTGCCAAAGCCTGGAGATGACACTCTAGGCAATTCGAAGTTCGTCTGATACTTCCAGTTGGGTACGCCCACATTCCAGACGGCCGATAATTCTACCACGTAAAAAATCATCCAAATGCGTCCTTTGTGTCATAACTATTCGGTTATTGCACTGAAATGCTTATAAAGCGCCTGCGAACAATTTTACTTCTTTGCCTCTATTCCTTATATATCACTCTCTTACACTCTCGTCATTGTGACGTACCATCGGTGTCATCTGGTTACTTCCTGAAAGTTGCATATTATTCTTGAAGATGTGTGTAGTGATTTTACAGGTGATATATTTATTTTAGAGTTCGGTTTCCGCGTGACTCCGAATTATCCTTAATTTATGGACATGAGTATATATATATATATATATATATATGTAATGTTTTCGGTTATTCCAACACATCGTGGGTGAATGGTGAGGCTATTCCATTTCACGTTTTGGCAGATGGTTGACGAAGCTGGGATGATTGCACCACGGAGAAAAATGACGACTCAGGACTTTTCACTTTTAACAGCATATCTTTATTTTATTTTAGAGCAGATGATTTTTTCCAGATGAAGTTACTCAAATAACTTCTTCAGTAATTGAATTATTAGATACGACTGACTTTAATACGTTATAACGTTCTAACAAAGAAAGAGGAGCATAGCGGAGGCGTTAGCAGAACGAAGGCGAGAAGGCATCTGTGTAGGAGAACTTATGACGCAGCATTTATATGAAATGTTATGTAACAGAGTAGCTTCTAAAAAAATGTAGAAAAACTTATGACGCAGCATTTATATGAGGAGGTTATGTAATAGGCGCGAACGTTCTAGAAGGTACTGGTCTAGGGGAAGATCCTGAATTGCAGAAAATTAATTAAAGGTTACTGGTTCTCAAAGAGCAAAGCCATCGTATTTTTTTAATATTTTACAATATATATATATATACTAAAATATTGATTATACTCGTATTATCTCCTAATATAAATTTAGTGGAAGTATCAAAAAAGAGGGAACCCATATGTAGGAAGTTTAATTCCGAAATTGTGTTTTAAAGTAACTTGAATGTAAATTATGAAAAAAACGTTTTACGGGGACTTGAATTTAAATCAAGAATAACAAAATTTCAATCTTTGAAAAAGGAATTAAAAATTAAAAACAAGTAATTATCGCTATTGATCGGAAATTAGTTGACTTTTCAAGGGGAACCAACCAACTCCCGTTCAATGAGCAATAATTATTAAATGCGAAGTTGTTTCGTCTTTTACTCAAGTAAGAATGATGATGCCAAACTGGCAAATTAAGTTAGGCCAAAACTGTAGTTCCGTGAAGTGATGGGACTCATAACCAAAGTAGAGTACCAAAGAACTCATTCTGCATGAAGCATTTTCGCTAATACAAGATTATAAATTTTGAGGGAAAAGCAATTTATGTAATAAAATTTACGAAATACTTGAGTAAACGTACCGCAACACTTTCGCTTTTATGCATGTTAATTCAAGACTATTTTTATAAAAATAAACAGATAAATTATTATTATCTTACTTTGCAGCTATTGCACAAGTATTAGAAAAACTTGTTTTCCAACAAAGTGAATTTTAGATCATTCAGCATATATATATGATTCAAAGATGTACTATTCACATCGTACCTTTTTAACTGCATTAAGGTTTATTATTTCCCATGAAAAATGTTAAAATGTTTAGTCTTCTGTTTAAAATTTTTTTTTTTTAAATTTCAGATGGCCTTCCTCTGCTCAATTTATTGCTCATCGACAATCGAAACTTCCAAGTTAAGTGCAATAATTTCAAGAAGAAATACTTGAACACTTCTCTGCGGACAAGCCCAAGCTGAAAAATACATTCGCAAAAAAGACTGGCGTAACCGCTGCGTCTGTCGTAAAATCTACTGGCTCTGACAATCAAAAGTCCTCTGAAATATGCGGAATATTTGAAAGAATTAACTTAAGACTACGCCTATAATAGGCGATGACGAGTAGAAGGGACAGCAACGCCACTACAAGTAGCGAACCAAAAGCGGTCAAGCAGCATTATTCGGCAGCTAAGATGTCAGTCGATAAGCTAAGTGACCAAGAAGGTAAGTTTTCAGAATATTACTCTCACGTATTTCTAAAGCAATCTGTTGTGATTTATCTCACTTCTCTGATAGTAACATCAGAGCAAGTACACGCATTTTGTCATGGCGAGAAGAGCAGGCAGATAGCTCGAATAAATGGCAGTACGACTTTGCCCAGTGTCCTCCCAATTTAGGAGAATCCTTCGGCCGGGGCAGGTCAAAGGTTTCCCATTCCACTTCCCCTACCACCAAACCACGCTAGAAGACTTTCGGCTTGTTATGTAATTTAAATGCCCCCCCCCCCATGCCGCGAAGACTCTATACAGTTGTAAACATCCTAAGCCAGCAACACTATGCTCTACACAATTCAGGAGACCTAAAACTGTCTAGATCAAATTATGAATCGCTTGAAAAATAATTGAGATAGTTTAAATATTTGAATTTCCTTTGTGCTTCTGCGATTAATACAACATAAAAGGTCTCAGTGTTATTTATTAATTTTCAAGGTATTTGTTCTTGATGCTTTTCTTGTAAATTCTTTTTTAACTAGAACCTGAAAGAAGCATAGTAAAATCATGCAGTGTTATTTATTACTTTCTAGGGAATCTAATTTTCTTACATATTTGCAATTTATTCTTCAAAATCTAAAAAAGGGTATGTGACTTTTCGACTGCGCGGGGCCACTAGAAGTCGAGGGGTAACATCACTGGTAGTTCATTCAGGGTTCAAATCCAGCGAATGGGGTGACTGCAGTCGCCGTTTTTGTGATTTTCCCCACGTGTAATATGAATGCGAGTAGGGATAAGAGTAGTAGAATACGAGTGGGAATTAGAGTAAGGATGCCTCCACGGCCCTGTTCTTAGAGAGATAGCTGCTGTGGGCTTTGCAGTTATCTAACTAACCGTCGACTTCACAAAATGTTGTTACTCTTAATCCACTCATAGTTCAACTGCTGATTTAAGTGTACATGTAAAATAAATACTAACTTTGATTGAAGAAATTTTGAAGAACATTAATATTCTTTCAAACCATATTTAAACTCTTTACTTAATTTTACAGAGAAAGAACGTTTGTTACTTAATGTTTGAAGGGTCATATATGTATCTAATAAGTTAGGTTAAAATAATGCGCAGAATAACGAACCGAACATTCGAAGCTCCATGGTTCGGCAGAGGTGGACCGACCGCTTGGCCACCCAGGTCACCTGATTTATCGGCCATGGATTTCTTTCTGTGGGGGGAAGCATGAAAGAACATGTGTACGAGACTCCCGTCGAAAATGAAATGGACGTTGTTGAACGAATAGTGGCCGCCGCAGGAACTAACTGTCCGTGATATGCCAGGCGTTTTTGAAAATGTTCTGAGGTCAATGCAACGGGGCTGTCAATCCTGTGTTCGTGTAAATGGTCGCAAATTTGAACACCTACTGCGACTCTTTACTTAACCTTGTTGGAATGAAGGTCACATCGTTACCACTTAACGGTACTGTTTCCTTGTGTTAACTTCACTGGTCCATTTGTTCATGTACGCATGGTACGACATACATTTGCGGACATACTTTCCTATGTGAAATTGATTTCCTAACGTCTTCCCTACCTCCGCACGAAATATGAGCGATAAGTTTTGAAACAGCCTGTATATCTATTTGTCCACTGAATCTTTTTAGAAAACATATGTAAAGAAGTGAATATTTGTAATCAATGAAAAATTGTTTTGTTCTAAGATTTCGTAACGGAACGCTGCATTTTCAGTGCTCAACCGGTCAATGTAACGTCAGACAGTTGCTTAAACTGTTACAAATGGTGCAGTACAGCATACTTTTCTATAGATGAAGAGTTCTGAGTTTTATTCGTAGTTGAAGTAAACTTTTAGTATTTAATGATTTCAAAGCGCATATGATCAACGAATGGATATCCAAAAAGATTCAAGCCTTCGGCAAAGTAATTGTTCGTTCACCACCTTGCAGACAGAGCGAATACGTCTCGTTTAGTAGTTGAGATTCTGGCCATTTTCTCATTACTTAGTGCAGGGGTCGGCAACCTTTTGAAACGGAAGAGCCAAAAGTTACAATTTCCAAAATTTCCCAGTTTTTAAAGAGCCACTAAAACGTTTCGTTTCAGTATTATAGTTTAGCTTATATATATTTGATTTTTGACTTAAAACAGCTTTGAATATGGAATAGCATATATATAAATATATATATATATATATATATATATATATATATATATATATATATTATTCCGTATTTATACATATGTATATATATTCCGCATTTTTGTATATATATATATTATATACAAATATAGACAGTTGCATCAATGGGAGCATTGGTTTTGTATGCCTTTTGGATGTTTGATTAAATCTGGCTTATAACTTGTTGTTTTAAGTTTCAAGCACGATTCTAGATTTTTATTTGTTAGTTGACTTCAAAGTTACTTTTTATTATATTCATACAAGAGAACGCTTGCTCGCACGAATATGTCGACCCGTTATGTTTGAAAGACTATTCCATGCTCTGAATATGAGGGCTTCAATTCGCGGAATTTCTTTTAGAGCTGTCCACTTGTGCTGCTCGATGTGCATGCTTTTCTGGACCTCAAACTCTTCCAATTTACTCTTGAGCTCTGTGAACTTGCTACTCCACAAGTCTTTGGTTTTCTAATACAGCAGTTGCATTTGAAGCGATCCAGCATCAATTCCAAATGTCTCATTGTTGATATCATTTGTATTTGCGTTGAGAGGATTTACTAAGAACGCAAGAGTACTTGTGTTTGTTTTGAATTGCTCGAACCTCTCAGCGAATCCATCCTTCATATTTTTCAAAGCTATGTAGAAGTAATTCGTGTCAATAATTACATTAGCCTCATTGCGATATAAATTTACCGCTCTCCATGTCTTCAACAAAAATAAGTAATTTGTTTTCAAAACAAACTACTACTTCAAGCAAGGCGTAGGCTGGATTGCCCTTTCCTTGCAGTTTTAGATTTAGTTCATTTAATTTCATTGTGGTATCTACATTAAGTAGAATTTTTGCAGCCGTTTGTCTTCTTCGAATTTGGGACGGTAAATGCTTTTTTTCATTGAGGAATATTTTTATTTCACTCAAACACAAAGTAAAACGTTACTTCTGGAAAGCCATCACACTTTATTGTGCAAAATCAGGTCAGAAAATTGGTTATCTATCGAGGTGTGTTGGTGTATTTAATTATGGCAAAGCACACGAGGGCTATCTACCTAAGGGGAGGGATGCCTTTCGTGGAGGACTTTTTAAGGGAAACTGGCTCGTATACACGTTACACACGGGGAAAACCACGAAAACGTCCATGCAGCCAGCCCGTTCGCGGGATTCGAACCTCGGACCGAACTACCAGTGTTCAGCGACTTTACCGCTCGGCCGCTGGTGGGCCTATCTATCGAGGAAATCTTTAAACTGGTGATGGTAGAGTGCTTTTGCAAAATGCTATTAATAATCTTATTTATTAAGTTCATGACCTCAACTATTTCGGCCGAAAATGTTTGCGTACAAAGCGCTTCTTGGTGAATTACACAGTGAAACGTTAGAATTTCATGGTTTAATTTTTTATGAAGAATTGACATGACCCCTCTATGTATTCCTGTCATACTTCTGGCTCTATGTATTCCTGTCATACTTCTGGCTATCGTTAGCAATCCTACAGTTTTTCTTTTGGACCTTGGGAGGACATATACCCTACCAAAAGGGTAACCTGTGTCGTGTCTTTTATGTCACAAGACTCATCTATAGAAAGTGATAAGGCAGAAGCCAGCTGAATGCCTTTCACTTGCATATGTGGTACATTTGAAAGCATCTTAGCAGTTCTATCTTGTACTGTTTTTGCAGATAACCGCAAATCTTTGATTTTTTATGATTTTTGCTTTGATTTTAATATCACGAAACAGTTATTTAGATGCACGTATAAAACAATCTTTGACGTATTTGACGTGAATGGTTTTACTCTTTTTGTAATTTCTAATGATGCTGCAGAGCTTGGCAGATTTACATTATTGAAAGATTGTGCCCAGTTACTTAGAATGAAAAATGACTGCTTTTTTTATTTTTTGGAGCTCTTCAAGAGCTTTTTTCGTGCGTTCCCGGTTGGATATTTACCAGCAAAACTGGGTATATTTTGTAGTGAAGTGTCTCCCCAAATTCGACTTATTTTGTGCGAGTTTTTGGTGGTAAATGAGACAACTCGGAAGGCCATCTGTATTGCATATGAATGCAAACGACTCCGCCCAATCCTGATTGATTTCTCGGTTTTCTTCTTCAGTTCTCTTATTTTACCAGCTGCCATGCTGACGGCAGAGCTGGAAAAATGAATAATAGTTCAAATTAACAGTACAGTAACAATGGTTCAAATTTATCTCATCACGGTCATGTTAAGCGTAATTAACGATTATGAAAAATAGAAGCTATTGAGAAATTAGGTACTTAAAAGTATATTTTCTTATTTTTTAAGGGTTTTGATAATGAATTATTAACTTTTCTGTATAGAACTGGAGAGCCGCAACTTTACGTCAAAAGAGCCGCAGTTTGCCGACCGCTGACCTAGTGGGATCGGGGACAATGGCTGAGAGTTTGAGATCACAGTCCTGGCAGTTGACGTCGGCTCGATCCCAGGTAAACGGGCTGGCTGCTTGATTGTTTCGTGGATTTTCCCCCGTGTAACATGAATACGAGCCTGATTAGCTTAAAAAGTTCCCTTCTAAGAACCTCCCTTCCTTTATACAGGCAGTTCTCGTGTGCCTTGCCATATTGCGATAATCTATTCTAATCTAATCTAATCTACTCATGTCTCGAAATGAAATTTAGCTGTGTTATTCTCAGGAAATCATGGGAAATTCTATTGAAAGTTGGTATTTGAATAATCTAACATCAGTATGTTACTATATTCTGCCACTGGATATGTTCTTTCATTTGCTTGAATAAAAACCTCTTCCATGATTATATAAAAATGGTAAAAAAACTTGCAAGTAATGAATATTGATGTTCGATTATTT